AACTTGATGACATGACTTCTTGCACATTTTAAGAAAGTCGTCCTAAATAACAAAGTCATTGCATTGTTCTTTCTTTCGTCAGATTCCAAATATGTAGATATGTCAGGAGAAAGATAGTTAAACAAATCTTCTGTATATTTTCTTTACTTATGTTTCAAGCCATTGAGCTTGTAAGCCTTTAATAATTTCATAACAGATTTTAAATAGTATACAATGTAAAACAATTATGTTACAAATCCACTGATATTTTGGCTTCATATGGAGATATTTAGACACTGAACGGTCCCATAATTCTTCATATAGACCTATCGTGAGCCAAAAAGTCTTCTTAAATTAGGGACACCTGACGCTTTTAGAGTCTTGCTATTTACCAACAGTAAAGATCATAACAGGAGCGATGAATATTATGAAGTTTGAACTTGCTTAAAGCTTTACTATGTATTCCGATGTTAACAACGAAGCCAAACCTATGAACAGCTTATCAGATTTACCTGCCCTCTTGTGTTGTATAATTGTAGTGCACATTGTTAATCTGTTTCACATAAGCCTATTTTCGTTACACATAGTTGCTATTCCCTTTATTTATATTCTTTCATTTGATGGAAAATTCACTTTTGTAGCCAAAGGATCCAACATTTTCATTATTATTCCACACACTGAGTTCGAAATCTCTATCTTCATATACCGTGTTCTTAATTTAGTATGTTTCTACTCATGCTTTGTAGATTGAATTGGGCCTTTTGACTGCTACTGAGGCAAGTTCCTACACTGAAATCTTTGTACCGTTTACTCACTTATAAATCGAGGTAACTTGCAAACATACAAGCTCCAGATCTTCCCTAACATAATATGCCTGGAGATCAAAATCAATATTGTTCGTTCTCTACGGATTACTCCGAACAACGGCCCAGGCCCAGATCTATCTGCACATTATGCGATAGCAGATCTGGGTCTGTGTAGTTTGCACTTGGACTCGTCTTATAAAAGAGTATCAATGGTAACGTATGTGATTCCTAGATGAGTGATTTATTGTGAAATCATGTTTCGCTTTGCCTCATTACCTATGAACTTGATGGTTATCATACTCCAATCACCTGTGCAATACTGGACCTAAAAGAAACCCGAGTGTGTTAAAACAAGGTTGGGTGGAAACAGGATGAAATGACGTGGTAAATAAAAGTAGTCCGAACTGTGTTTGACTACCCTTGCAAATGATCAGCAGCTGTCGCCGTTCCAGCAATCTCTTACAGTCTAAGTTACGTCGTTAATGTCTACACTTATGACTCATCATAACAATATTTTGGCCACTCTTACGGGCACCTGCTTGGTATTTTTGAAACAATTTAAACTATATGAATGCTACTGGGAATGTCACGATGATCCTTGATTCCCTGGATACTTTCATACAAGCAATAATTGGATATGCTTCAAGTGGACATGAGGAATAAATGTTCATAAGATATGAAACAGGCATGCAACATGTTCACCATACATTAAGCGAAATGCTTTCAGTTTCGTGATGAAGGGACGTACTAGGAATTACGATGAAGTGAGACACTCTTAAAATCATCCTCGAAACAAAAAGATTGATTATCTGTTTTAAATCAAAAATGATCCAAAGAACAAAATTTTAAATTTATGAAATATGTATTCTTTGATTGTTTCCTCATCTCTTTACATTGTTCCCTTCTCCTTTTTTTACACTGATTTTTTTTTAAATTTTTTTTATACAATAGAACTTCAAATGCGCTTGATTCATTAGTCATATATTTATCGCCTGAGTATGATTCCGTATGATTCCGTTTACAGGAATGTTGTATATTCTCTTATCTATTCTCTAACATAAATCGTTCATTTACACAATCGGAAAATATTTAGATGCCTTTTTGGACCACTATTTGCAGGCGCAATAAGTTGGCATCTCATTGAGTTAATATCCAAGGGCTAAGAAACATTGAAATCAACATCAAAGTTCTAAATACACCTGAATGAAGACAATGCCACATGAATCAAAGTTTTAAATACACCTCAATGAAGACAACGCTACATTACTCAAAGTTTTTAATACACCTAAATGAAGATAACGCAACATCAAAGTTTTAAATAAACTTGAATGAAGACAAGACCACATCAAACTTTTAAATAAACATGAACGAAGACAACGCCACATCAATCAGTTTTAAATAAACCTGAATGAAGACAACGCCACATTAATCAGTTTTAAATAAACCTGAATGAAGACAACGCCACATTAATCAGTTTTAAATAAACCTGAATGAAGACAACGCCACATCAATCAGTTTTAAATAAACCTGAATAAAGACAACGCCTCATTAATCAGTTTTAAATAAACCTGAATGAAGACAACACCACATCAATCAGTTTTAAATAAACCTGAATGAAGACAACGTCACATTAATCAAAGTTTTAAATACACCTGAATAAAGACAACGCCACATTTGGGGAAAAAAAGACATGAGGCTGTCTGAATATTTTCTTTCCTACACTTATCTTTCACGTTGAAAAACCTGAAAATGTTATTTTGATCCTTAACTGAACTGCTAATGACAGGAGAAATTTGTTTTGGTCTCTTTTAACTAATGGACTTTAATAAGCGACTTAAACATAAATTGATGCTCCTTAAGGATCGTAAAAACAGATACTTGAAATACAAATATGAAACGTGTACCTTTATAAACTAAGAGATTATACGAGTTGTGTATCTACTGTGATTTATTGTTAAGAATAAAAGTATTTTTATATTTATCTTAATATTTAATTTAGATAATCAAAAAATTGGTTACAACTATTATTATAATTATTTTTACCATCAACAATGTGTATATTGCGTGAATGTCTGGGGTTCGACCACAGTGGCAATGAATCAAGTTCAACACGTGTTCACGATGGCAGCATCGCACCTGTGACACAGGTAAGATTAAATAATAAAAATAATAATAATAATAATAATAATAATAATAATAATAATAATAATAATAATAATAATAATAATAATAATAATAATAATAAATATCATCATCATCATCATCATCATCATCATCATCATCAAATTTAATGAATCACGGAAATTGATTGGTACTAGAGCCTTGTTTTAACTAACTGCGGTACGCATACCTTAGTTTCTCATTTAGTAGTTTCAGTTCCAGAGTGATACTAAAAATTGCATGAATTTAATACAAACAAAATAAGACTCATTACATATTTCTTGTTATCCGATTATACTGTTTATTCTCAGTTTTGCTTCAAGAATAGAACTGCTTCATCTGCTTCACGTTCCCAATAGGGTATGTGAATTGCACGGGATAAAATGTCAGCAATTTATAACGTAAGACAGCTGTCAATCTGGGAATTCACCGAAAATCACTTGTCGGAATTTTCTGTATTGGAATTGTTTCATTCATAATAGCAGGATTTGAGGAGTTGAATTTCTGCAAGAAATCTATAATACTGCATAAGAAATTTGAATGGACTGAATATTAAATGGGCGAAGTGCAGTTCAGTTAGGAGATAAAGATATCTCTTCAAGATGACTGCAGCATTGTACGCCAATACATAAGTTAAAAAACCAGGGGGAATTTGACTTATAGACTGATATTTGATTACATAAAAAAATTTCCACGATTTCAGTTTTGCAAGAAAAAATCAATAAATTTCTGCAAAGTATATGCTAGGCCAGTATGTGTTTGAATTGCTTATCAAATACGGTAAGAGAAAACTCAGATATATATATATATATATATATATATATATATATATATATATATATATATATATATATATATATATATATATATATATGCATGCATGCATACATACATACATACATACATACATACATACATACATACATACATACATACATACATACATACATACATACATACATACATACATACATACATACATACATACATACATACATACATACATACATACATACATACATACATACATACATACATATTACAAAAGCATTTGCACATGCTGTCCAATTATACTGTAGTCATCTTCTGTTGGTAGAGAAGATTTATTTCCTTTGAGACCGATTAAAACAATTGCACCGATTCGAACAATTGCCATTTATTAAGAGTGATTCCATGTAACCAATATTATCATTATTATTAAAGTATCATTATAAAAATAACATGAATTATTTCCAAATGAGACATTATTATTCTAGTAACATACTATATCACTAACTAAAAGTACGTGGGCTTAAACTTCACGACCAAAAAAACGTAACATTTGGTAAAAATCTACCTGGACAAAAATGATTTATGGCGGAAAGGATCTGGAGCCTCGGGACTTAAAGTGAAGCATACAATCATCCATTTTACCGTAGCAAGATTTCTAAATATATATCAGATAAGAAAATGTAACTGATGGATTTGCTGTCAATTAACAGGCGTGCCCAATGTACGTCTAGGATACTGGATTATCAGAAGCCTAAACAAAAATATTTATTTTTATTACATACGTACTTTCAGCAAAGAACGTCAACCGAGTGAATGAATAGTACTTACCCAAATGACAAATATCAGTCCCTAAGATCATATATGTAAGGTACCAATAACTTTATTCTTGAAAGCAGCACTGAGTATGATTGAAAAAACATATAAATAAAACAGGTCAATTTTGATTGTAGAACAGTTACGATGTCAGTCAAATTAAGATTGCAGGGAGTATTTTATATTTAAGTTGCATGGGTTGCATGATATCTCTCTCTCTCTCTCTCTCTCTCTCTCTCTCTCTCTCTCTCTCTCTCTCTCTCTCTCTCTCTCTCTCTCTCTCTCTCTCTCTCTCTCTCTCTCATAAGTTGAACAGTAAGTTGAAGATAAGTACAACGCCTAATGAAAAACCTTGATTTTCATGCTTATCAGTTCTTGACAAACTGATGTCAAAAGCCATGGTTGTTCGAGCATTAAGTTATACTAGTATCAAATGTAAGCACTTGAACTGCATTGTATTTAGACCGTCCCGGTGGCCTAGTTGTTAGAACGTCCGTCTCGGATGCGGGAGGTCACGGTTTCGAACCCCGGTCATACCAAAGACTTATAAAATGGCATTAACAGCTGACTCACCAGTCACTCAGCATTAAAGTGGTTAGTGCTAGGATTGGTCAACCTGGTTTCTGGATAATGTGACTGTGTGGGACATCATGTTACATGTCAGTGGCATGATGCCCCCAGTGCTAGACATCACAATAAACTGCCATACTGCAGGCATCGTAGAGATATGTCTGAAACATTGTTTCTGTGAAAAATTCAAATCACTGCTATGTTTTTGGATTTTGAATAATAACCTTGTACAAAATGTACCACTTGTAATGTAATATATCAATGTACCAAGCTGTTTATCCCCAATGACTGCAATAAAGCAGCATAATTGTATGGTTTAAGAACACATGGAAGACACTACATAAAAGTTATTTAAAGGCTTTTATCATCGTAAAGTAGCATCTATGTCATTCCTTGATGACGTCTTGATAGGTCGCAGACTTCGCTCGTATCTGTATTAGGGGCGATATAAGAGGCGATATATTATTAGGGGCGATATAATGGGCGTTATCTGTATTAGGGACGATATTAAGGGCGATATGTGTATAAGAGGCGATATTCCGATGAGAGTATTGTCTAACACTAACATTCTTTCAAGGAATATTTAACATGGAACGGGACTTGACTCCTCAAAATTTTACTATACGAGCTGTCCATTTGAAATTGAAACATTCTTAACACGTCTCTTTTCACATTCATGGCGATCGCTCTTCTTTAACAAGACCTTGGTCTAAAAACAATTTAGAGAGAGTTAACTGAATCGATGTTCATATCGCAGTGAAGGCTGGAAGACTGTAGTGCGCTTAAAGATAATCGGCTTCATTCACTTTCCTACTTATTGACCGTTGTTATTAGGAGAAAAGGAATTATCTTTTGTATTGAAACAGAACATTTTAAGGTATGCACCGGTTAGTGAAAACGATCGGAACATAAAAAGCGTAACGTTGCTCATTGCCATGTTACTGCCATCATTTACAGGTAATTAATAATATTAATTAAGTGATAATTTTGTACCCGGCATTACTCTTACAATCGTCATAGATAGCTTATTGCATCATGCCTTATCGAAATTCTGTTTGGTTTATCTGCCACCGTATAGAAATATGCATTACTGTAATAAGTGCAGTGGCATATTTTATCTTATACGATGAACTGTGCTGTCCCATCCAAGACATAACAATGGTACTAACGGCTTTGACTGGGTGCAACATTCTGCTTCATATTTACAGAATGATGTCTCAGTGCTAGACGTCACTATAACATTATGCTACATGTCTACGGCATGATGTCTCAGTGCTAGACTTCACTATAAACTGCTACACCGAAGACATCGTAGCGATATGACTGAAACATTGTTACGGTTACGTTAAAAATCCAAACGAAAGACATACTATAGAAGTCATAAACAATTTAAAGTCTTTCCATTATTTCGCCCCTTATATTACTTCATTAAAATGCTTAAATAAGTTTCTTCTTCGCAGCGATTGGTTTTTGCTTTCCTTGCTAGAATCTGATTTATCTCCATTTGCAATAAATGTAACAGTAAGCCGACGCATCAAAATGTCCATATCCTTCCAATCCCGTTTCATTGTAACCAGATTTAACACGGTAAAAGAAATGTTAATGCACATTAAACGATACGTTCGTGTTTCATAATATGTCCATTTTTAAAAATGTATCGCTATAGTGTTCAGGTAGTTCCTTTAAACAATACCCCACTCATAGTGGCAGCTGAAAAGATAAGTAAATGAATTCTTTGAACTTCAAATTCTTCATATCCGTTTTAAATATAAAGCTACAAAAAATTCAACTTTTCCTGATTCGAAGAGTGTGTATAAAATTGCTCATTGTTTGAGATTATCATAAACTTTTGAATATGAAGAGGCAATTTTTGTTACAAGTCAACGAATGTCATACAGGCGTAACACTACAACGAATGTCAGACATTCCTAACACTACAACGAATGTCATACATGCGTAATACTACAACGAATGTCATACAGGCGTAACACTACAACGAATGTCAGACATTCCTAACACAACAACGAATGTCATACATGCGTAATACTACAACGAATGTCATACAGGCGTAACACTACAACGAATGTCAGACATTCCTAACACTACAACGAATGTCATACAGGCGTAACACTACAACGAATGTCATACAGGCGTAACGAAAGAATCAAATGAACAAAAAATTTAAATTATGCCTCCGCTACCTATGTCCATGAAACCACACCACATAAAAAATGTAATTATGGTTGAAGTTATTACAAATGGAATTCACTTCCTGGAGAGTGTCAGATTAAAATGTAAGGTCATGATGCCTTTTTTATTGCAGTTTCTTTAATCTCTTTGAAAAGAAGAATGTGACAGTGTAATTCCTTTTTCCAACCAATGAGGTCTGGATGGGACCCTTTTAACTTTGAGAATTACAGCAACTCTTCAAGGGTCTTGCTAAGACGATTTTATATGGAAACTGTTATCATAAGATTTGGGAGCCATAATATCTTTGTGAATAACTGGGACGTGATTGGGAATACATAACGATTATTATTGCTTATTGGGACACCACAATAATGATGATTGATGCAGATACTTGAGACAGACGTTGGGAAACTTGATGTCTGAAAGTGTTCGCTTTTTCATATCATTTATAACTTCGAAACTGTATAAGGAATAAGGGGCATCAGAAGGACCACATAAATGCGTGGACTTGCATAAATAGATAAACAAGTCAACTGTATAAAGGAATAAGGAGTCTTAGAACGACATTATAAACGCGGGGAATTACATAAATAGATAAACAAGTCAACTGTATAAAGGAATAAGGAGTCTTAGAACGACATTATAAACGCGGGGAATTGCATAAATAGATAAACAAGTCAACTGTAAAAAGGAATAAGGAGTCTTAGAACGTCATTATAAACGCGGGGAATTACATAAATAGATAAATAAGTCAACTGTATGAAGGAATAAGGGGTCATATAATGACATTATAAACGTGAGGACTTTCATAAATAGATAAACAAGTCAACTGTATGAAGGAATAATGGGTCTTAGAATGACATTATAAACGCGGGGAATTGCATAAATAGATAAACAAGTAAATTGTATAAAGGAATAATGAGTCTTAGAACGACATTATAAACGCGGGGAATTACATAAATAGATAAACAAGTCAACTGTATGAAGGAATAAGTTGTCATAAAATGACATTATAAACGTGAGGACTTTCATAAATAGATAAACAAGTCAACTGTATGAAGGAATAAGGAGTCCTAGAACGACATTATAAACGCGGGGAATTGCATAAATAGATAAACAAGTCAACTGTATGAAGGAATAAGGGGTCATAGAATGACATTATAAACGTGAGGACTTTCATAAATAGATAAACAAGTCAACTGTATGAAGGAATATGGGGTTTTAAAACGACATTATAAACGTGAGGGAATTGCATAAATAGATAAACAAGTCAAGTGTATGAAGGAATAAGGGGTCGTAGAACGACAATATAAACGTGGGTACTTGCAAAATAGATAAATAAGTCAACTGTAGTTGCAAAGCGAAACTGAGTCTACAAATAAGACAATATGATGATTATATCTCCTTCAATAAATATTTGATTATGATGCCATTTTTATTATATTTTATTGATACTTTGGTATCTTTTACTTGTGAGCAGTTAGTAAATATACTTTGTTACTGGCATTGTCCTTTCCTGTCGTTTTTTGGATGCTTACATGTATGGTGTATGATTTATTTACGGAAGAAATATTACAAGTCTTAAAATTCATACCTATAGTTTTCAGTCTTGTTCACTATGCACACTGTTGTTTTCACTATGGTGCATCGTCGTGTTCACTATAGTACACTGTCGTGTTCACTGCCTTATACACAACATAGTATCAATTAGTTTTTCATCTTACACTAGTGCACACCATGTGTGTGTGTGTGTGTGTGTGTCGCTTTTATGTGTTGTACATTCTTATTCATATGCGTAACTTCGTCACGATCTTAGTGCAGTACTAAGTCACCATTTTAGCCTGTGTATTAATCAATATTTTACATTCACTGAGATGTAAATGAACATGACAATCGTGCTAATTTTTGTTTAAATGATTTCTTAATTTGTGTTTAAATAATTTTGTTAATTTGTGCTTAGTTCAATATTTTTGTGCACTGTAATGTATCATACAGGTCGATATCATGATTTTTATTTCCCTTTTTGGAATTACGTCTCTGCTTTAAGCGATAATACAGTCCACATCACATAAATATTCACCTCAGCTGAAATTTGATCCACAGACCTTACGATCTGTCATTCTGTGATAGACTAAGCAGACCTTATGATCTGTCATTCCGTGATAGACTAAGCAGCTTCCTTACGATCTGTCATTCCATGATAGACTAAGCAGTCTCAAAGAATAACGTACTGTAAAGACAAAAGCTTCACATATATACTTGTCCCTTTGCTCCGCTCAATGCAAAACAACTGAAACAGTGATTTTACTTAAGAAGAAAGGGCAGAGCACGGAAATCCAATCAATCAGGTCTTTCTTTGCCTATTATTTTACCACTATGTGTAAATAACAGTCGAGAAGGCTGCTAGAAATAAATCTTTGTTTTGTTTCTGACTGGGTTTTTTTAATTGCCGGCGGATGAAATATATAAATGAGGTAAATACAAGTTCCATGCCTTAAAAATATCATGGTTTTGTCACCCATTTCATGTTCGAAAATAAAATAATTTGTTTATGAAAAGTTATTATCTTTAGTATGACCACTGAGATAAATAAGTTGTAAAGATTCTCTAAGATAAATTTGGGATTCTCTGACTAAGATAGCTATGGTGTAAAGATTCTCTGACAATACAACAATGGTGTTAACTTTTTACTGACAATACAACAATGGTGTAAAGAGTTTCTGACAACACAACAATGGTGTAAAGATTCACTGACATGGTGTATATATTCTCTAACCAT